TGTAATGATAGAAAGAAAGTGCACAATAAATGTAATGCACTTGAGTCATCCTGAAACCATCCCCATGTCCTCCCCAGTCTGTGGGAAAACTGTCTTCCATGAAACCAATCCCAGGTTCCAAAAAGGTTGAGGACAGAGGCCCTATATCTATGTCCAGCCAAGATTCAGTTCAGCCAGGTCCAGTCGCTCAGTTGTGTCTGACTCACTGTAACCCCATGGACTGCAGCACGCCAGGCTTCCCTGTCCATCACCAACTCCCGGAGCCTACTCAAACTCATGTCCATCACGTCAGTAATGCCATACAACCATCTCATGCTCTGTCGTCCCCTTCTCCTCCTGTCTTCAATCTTTTCCAGCATCAGGGTCTTTTCCAATGAGTTGGTTCTTCACATCAGATGGCCAAAGTATTGGAGTTTCAGCTTCAGCATCAGTCCTTCCAGTGAACACCCAGGACTGATCTCCTTTAGGATGGACTGGTTGGATCTCCTTGCAGTCCAAGGGACTCTCAAGAGTCTTCTCCAACACCACAGCTCAAAAGCATCAATTCTTCGGCACTCAGCTTTCTTTATAGTCCAACTCTGACATCCATACATGACCACTGGAAAAACCATAGCTTTGACTAGACGGGCCTTTGTTGGTAAAGTAATGTCTCTGCTTTTTAATATGCTGTCTAGGTTGGTCATAGCTTTTCTTCCAAGGAGCAAGCATCTTTCAATTTCAGCCAATATTATCACATTATTTATTAACTCATTCATTCCTTCATTTATTCAATCATTCATTCACTCAACAGACATTTGCAAACGCCGTGTCAAGCCCTAGAGCTCCTAGAAAAAACTCGCTATGCCTGTTCCCAATCTTCCCCAAGTTTAGGAGGTTTCCCACCTCTTGTTCATTGCTGTTCACATCTTACTGACATGCTCCATAACTTGCAATCCTTTATATGTTTGAGAGTAAGTTGCACGCAGCACAGCCTTTTACCTTGAAATACTTCTGGGAGTATTTCCCGGGAACAAGGCTGTTCTCTTACATTACCTTAGTACATCACCTTGAGGAGCACAGTTTGAGAACCGCAGGGGTGGCAGCCATCTGAGATCCTGCCCACTGCAGTTCTGTTCCTTCTAACTCAATAGAAAAATCACAAAGAAAATGCAAATCTGTTCTCAAAGCCCAGCTTCTCTCCCAAACGTATATATACACACAGAGCAATTTTGCAAATAGAAACTTGGATGGCATCCTGCTGTTTCTCAATTTCCCCTCCTCAGCCACTAGCTTTGTTTTTATTTTCTTTTCCCAGCACTTAGATTCCTTCTCCCCCAAATCAGTGGTGCCTGGGTTGGGGGCGGAGGGGGGCTGACCTGCAGAGGGGCGAGAGGAAACTTTGGAGGATGAAAAGCTCTGTGTCCTGATCGGGCCACGGTTTCCTGGATACGAAGCGCCTCCAACCGTGCACCTGAGGCAGTGTGCACATTCGGGGTTCGGCCAGCACACAGCACGTCCTCATCATCGGGGCTCCCTGCCTTGAAGCACTTCAAACACAGCAGTGGGGCTGCCGTCCACTCAAGACCAATGTGCAGACCCCTCCTTGCCTCGCCTCCCTTTTTTCTAAGAAAATTTATTTTATAGAGTATTTATCTTTATTTCAGCCACACCCACGTGGCATGGAGGATCTTAGTTTCCTGACCAGGGACTGAACCCAGGCCCCCTGCGTTGGGAGCACAGAGTCTTAGCTACCGGACCACCAGGGAAGTCCTTTCATTTCTCATTTTTATTTGTCTCCCTTCCACCTCATGTCAGAGGAACAAGGCATCAGTCATTCCCCACGTGGACCACCGATAGGAATAACCACGACGGGTGCCACCCCGCATGTTCCCTAAGGCCTCGTCTTCTGAGTGCGTCTGGTTTCCTCAGGTTAGCTTTCCGCGGCCTGGAGCAGGGGTGCCTCTCACCTGGGCCCCCAGGTCATGTGAGAGCAGGCTGGCTGGACAAGTGTGTGCGAAGTCAGGCCATCAGAGCTAGTCACCACCACCGCTTCCCGGGCACTTACCGTGTGCTGCACACAGTACGTTACATTGTGAGAGAGTGAATCTGATGTGCAACTGTCTCATATTTTCCTTTTTCTCAACCCCAATACGTCTGACAACTAGCCTCTGCTCACCTGGCCAAGAAGAAATTCAGTTTCACATTTTTTTAATGGTTTGTTTTTCTGGGGCGGTCCTTCAGGCTGTCAAGTTTGGGCCACAGAGCTGGCAAAGCCGCCCAGGCTGGCCAATGGCTGGGAGGTGAGGTGGGCAGTCTAGGCCTCGGGTCACGCCACTACCAGCCAATCCCTCCAGCCCAACAGGGTTCTTGAAATTCAGCTCAGGCTGTGGGTGGCAACAAAAATGTCCAAAACCCACGAACCTCCCTGCTGGGGATCCTGCCACCCTGAGACCTCCAGCAGGCATCTGGAGTCTCTGCCGCCTCATCCACTGCCCTCCAGCCTCAGGAGCCGGGCGCGACCCAGCTCTGAGCCTCCTGCTGAAAACCAGGGGGGACCTCCACCCTTCAGAACCAGCGCGGTTGTTCAGCCACTCAGCTGTGGCCAGCTCTTCCTGACTCCATGGACCGCAGCATGCCAGGCTCCTCAGTCTTCCACCATCTCCCGGAGCCTGCTCAAGTTCATGTCCCTTGAGTTGGTGATGCTGTCTAACCATCTCATCCTCTGCCACCCTCTTCTCTTTTTATCTTCAATCTTTCCCAGCATCTGAGTCTTTTCCAGTGAGACTGAGGTTAGCCCTCTTGAAAATACTTCTCACTGTTTTAAGATAAACCTACAGATAAATAAGGAAGGCAGAGGGCAAAGGAGCCTGGCATACTGCAGTCCAGGGGAGGGGGTCGCCAAGAGTCAGGCAAACTTAGGGACTGAAGAACAGTAACAGCAGATAAATAAAGGCTAAATCATCCACCTAGTCTTACTGGAAGTTCTCCCAAGCCTACGAGGCAAATATTATTGTTATTCCCACTTTTAAGATAAGGAAACTGAAGCTTAGAGATGATGAATAAATGGCCTAAGGTCATCTAACAAGGGAGGCAGCTTAGACCTAGCCCAGGTCTCTCCTTCTCTCCCAAGCCCCAGGCTTCCCAAAGTGGGTGGGAACATGGCAGAACATTTTCCCTTTTGATAGTTACCTAGTCGGGTTCAGTTCAGCCACTCAGTCGTGTCCGACTCTTTGCGATCCCATGGATTGCAGCACACCAGGCCTCCCTGTCCATGATCAACTCCCGGAGTTTACCCAAACTCATGTCCATTGAGTCGGTGATGTCATCCAACCATCTCATCCCCTGTCATCCCCTTCTCCTAATGTAATTGAAATAAAACTAGCTGTCCGACTCATGATTTCAATGGGAACTCTAAATTTGACCTTAAAATGCTTTTAAGTTTAAAAAAACAGGTTTTTGATATGTTGAAATAATGTTCTAGGCCCAAGCTGGAGCTGCTCTGGTCAAAAGCGCCACGACGGGAAACCAAAGGTGGATAAACGGCCACTGCAATTGCTCTGCTGGTCAGAAACACAATGTATGCAGTTGGCTGACACCCTGCCCCCAAAACACACTTGGCTCACAACCCCCCGCCCCGCTCTAGACTTATTTCCTTATTCCTTCTCACCCCAAACAACAAAGTAACAAAGACACAGCACAGCCAAAACTAAATAAATACGGTTTTAAAAGAGGAAAAAGAAAGAGCTGGAAGTTTGCTATATCAGTACCAGACGAAGTAAACTGGAGAGCAGGGGATATTATCAGGAATAAAAAAAGTATTTAAGGCAAGGTGGCCAATTCATTAAGAAGACAAAGCAGCCCTAAACGGACGTGTACACGATACAGACTCTCAAGGTACATGAAAGAAGCAAAAAAATGGAAAGAGACAAATCCATCATCAGAGCTGGAAGTTTCCAACATGTGCCTCTCAGCAACTGACAGGACACACGGACAGAAAATCAGAAAAGTTTTCAAAGATTGGAGCAATGCCCAGGACCCACTGGATCTCAGTGATGTTTCCTAAACACTCACCCACAGCAGCAGTTCAAGGAACATGCACCAAGGGAGTCCACATTCTTGGCCATAGATCTCAACAAGTTTTCAAAAGGTCTGAAATCATACAAAGTATGTTTTCTGGGGAATTCCCCTGGTTAGGGACTTCCAGGGGTTAGGACGCAGCGCTCTCCCTGCAGAGGGCCCGAGTTTGATCCCCGGTTGGGAAACTTAGATCACACAAGCAGCATGGCCAAAATAAAAACCAAAAAGCAAAGTCTGTTCTCTGCTCACAACATAATTAAACCAGAAACCAATTTTGGAGACATATCTGAAAAATTCTCAAATAGTTGCACAATAAGACCACATTTCCCAACAAACTACAGATCGGAGAAGAAATCATAATGGAAATTAGAAAACATTTTCAACAGAGAACACAACATGTTATAATTTGTGGGATGTAACTTAAGTAGTGCTTAGAGGGAAAATTACAGCTTTAAATTCAGATGCTATCATCCTGGTCCCTCCAATTCACAGTCCCCCACCGACCTCTCACCAATGTTTCAGGATCACTCCTTGGATGGTTATTTCATAAGGTTTGCAAACTGTTGCTTCTCTAATTTTATTGAACCTTCTGCATGTATTGGCTAGAATTATTTTATAAGTAAGAGCTTTCCCTCATCAACTGTTTGCTTACCTTTAAATATAAAGATAAAATTTAAAAGGCAAGATTAACTGTATTGCTTCAGTCTTTTATCTATTTTCAGAATGAGACAATGCCCCAGCGATATTCACCTGTGAGCAACAGGATTTTTAAAACACAGCATTACAAACAAATGAACTTAAACATGTCAAACTTATACAGCTTTTTATTCCTTTTGAGGCTCCAACTGTTCCAGCAGGGGGCCTCTTGAAGTCCTCCCCACCCCTTCCCAACCACTTATTATAAAAATTTTCCAACATACAGAAATGCGGAAAGAATGTCCCAGTGAACAGTTACGTGTCCGCACCCAGACGTCACGGCCAACACTCTTCTCTGACCGCCACCGCCGCTACCGCTCAGTTTCATCAAACCCTTTGCAGGTGGACGTGTATCCTTCCAGGTTTTTTTCTACGTGTTTCACATGTTTATCTAATGTATTAGTCAGTGCAGACTGCCATAACAAAATACCACAGCCCGGAAGGCTTAAAACAACACATATTTCTCACCGTTCCGGAGGCTGGATGTCCAAGATCAAGGTGCTGGCAGGTTTGGAGTCTCCTGAGTCCTCTCTCAAGAACTGGTCTGGGGCTACAGCCAGCGAGGCTGGACTGGGGACGGAGGGCCGCTTCCATCTCAGGGGTCTGGCAACTGGGTGCTGATGGTGGCCAGGGACCGAATTCCTCCACACGGGGGGCCTCCACAGAGCAGGCTCCTCCACAGGCTGCTTGGGTGCTCTGAGGGAAAGGTGGCTAGCTTCTTTCAGATCCAGTGACCCGAGAGAGAGCGAGCCAGGTGGAAGCTTATCATTTTCAGGACCTACACTTGGCAGTCACATAGCGCCTCTTCTGCCACATCGTGTTTGTCGGAATTGAGCGATTGGGGCACCCACACTTAAGGACAGCAGGGTTTGGCTCCTCCTCCTTTTTTTTTTCCTGTTTTTTTTTTCCCATTTATTTTTATTAGTTGGAGGCTAATTACTTTACATCATTGCAGTGGTTTTTGTCATACATTGAAATGAATTAGTCATGGATTTACATGTATTCCCCATCCCGGTCCCCCCTCCCACCTCCCTCTCCACCCGATCCCT